ATTTGTTTTCTCCAAAACTAAGTAATGAAATAAAATTAAAATGGCCAAAAATTCATTTTAATTCTAGGTTTTCATTCTAGGTGAATTATAAAGTTGAAAATGTCTACAACCCACAAAAAATGCAAAAATGCTTTCAGATAACACTGAAAAGCTCATTTCTGGCCCTGAAAAAATGCAGTTAAATATGTTTCAATTATATCAACTTTTGCATCCCTAAAATACTGAAAAATTACTAAAACTAAACTAAAACTAAAAAACAACAAAAATAAACTAAACTGAAAGGACAAATTGTGAATAAAATAGAAATTTTTAATAATTTGCTATTGCTTTAGAATTTAGTTGACTATGATGATGATGATTATTATTATTATTGACTGTTTCAGGAGACAATGTTCAGTGTTCCAGGAATTCAATGTTGATTGATTGATTAAGTGTTGTTATGAAAAAGAAAAAAAAAAGTTTTCTTATAATAATAATAATAATAAAACACTTGAAACATAAGGAACACCAAAAGTAAAATAAAAGTAATTAAAACTAATTAAAATGGTCACAAATTAATATTAATTTTAGGTGTATTATAATGTTGGAAATGTCTACAACCCACTTTCATTAAACATGCAAAAATGCTACAGATAACAATGAAAAACTCATATCTGGCCCAGAAAAAAATGCAGTTAAACATATTTAAATTATATCAGATAATTCTTTAACTTTGACATCCCTACAAAACTAAAATCCAATAACAAATAACAAAAATAAACTAAATCGAAAGGACAAATTGTAAATGAAATCAAAATAATAAAACTATAATAACACTGGATCGGTGTCTTTATTGAGAATGATTCTGGTTTGGAAGAATGGAAATGTGTCAGAAAAATGTAATGTCTCAGTCAAAGTCCATGTTAAACCGGGTGAACAGATGACATGAGTTAAGTATTTCAGTCAATGAGTAGTTTTGTCATTGTTTGGTATTGTAACATCTCCCAGGAATGTACATCCCCTAACACACGATGTTTGTCCTAAATGAGTCTGCTATCGACGCACATTCCTTACACAAACATTACTGGAGTATGTCAGTGATCAGAGCGGCCTGTACTCACCTCAATTACAGTTCTTCATCAGTTTAAAGGGTTAGTTCACCCAAAAATGAAAATTCTGTCATTAATTACTCACCCTCATGTCGTTCCAAACCCGTAAGACCTCCGTTCATCTTCGCAACACAATTAAAATGTTCCCAAGTCCAGAAATGTAGCAAGGAGATCTGTAAAAGAATCCATGTGACATCAGACAGCAACACAATTGAAATGTTCCCAAGTCCAGAAACGTAGCAAGGAGATCTGTAAAATAATCCATGTGACATCAGGGGTTCAACCGTAATTTTACGAAGCTACGAGAATACTTTGTGCGCAAAAGAAAAAAAAATTGTGACTTTAAACAACAATTCGTCTCCTCCGCATCACCCTGGTGCCATTTTGGAGAGTATCAGCTGGACGTAAACAACGTATGCTGTTCTGTGTCAGCTGCGTCACGCCGGATCTGTTTCCTATGTTGTTGTGATTTGATCCGAACGGAAACAGCGTATCTGTGTGACACAGCTAACACAGAACAGCATACCCTGTTTACAGGATGATGCGGAGGAGACTAATTGTTGAATAAAGTCGTTATTTTTTTTCCTTTTGCGCACAAACAGTATTCTCGTAGCTTCGTATAATTACGGTTGAACCCCTGATGTCACATGGATTATTTTACAGAACTCCTTGCTACGTTTCTGGACTTGGGAACATTTAAATGGGTTTTAATGTTTTTGTCTCATCGCGCCGGAACACGGCATCACAGTATGTTAAGGGGCGTAACATTTCCGTCACACGCTTGAGGTATTCGGCCAATCACAACGCACTGGATAGCTGGCCAATCACAGCACACCTTGCTTTTCAGTAAAAATCGACGCGTTTCAGAAAGGCGGGGCATAGAGGAGAAACAATAATGTACAGTATGTGGAAAATAATGTGTTTTTTTTAACCTTAAACCGCATAAACACATTTCATTACACCAAATACACAAAATAATGTTCTTTTTAGCAACATCATATGACCCCTTTAAATTCAAAAACGTAGTTTGTTTAGTACATGCTCTTGAAAAGTTTTCATAGCTATTTTGAACAAAATGTTCAAATGAAAGTGTTAAGAGTAGTCTAACTCATGTCAGGCTTGAGCCATGATGCCATATGATCATCTGTTTTATTGATACTCCTTGGAGGGTATCTATGGTTTGAACCCTTCCATGGTCTATAGCAGGGGTGGCGAACGTCGGTCCTGGAGAGCCGCAGCCCTGCAGAGTTTCGCTTCAACCCTAATCAAACACACCTGAACAAGCTAATCAAGGTCTGAACAGTTACTTTGAAGCTACAGGCAGGTGAGTTTTAATTAGGGTTGGAGCTGAACTCTGCAGGGCTGCGACTCTCCAGGACCGGAGTTCGTCACCCCTGGTCTATAGCCTCATCCATTTTTAAAGAGCGGCCCACGCTGGGGTCCGATTGTTCTGTCTGTTCCTCTGTAGGGTCATTTCTGATTGACAGTCCCTACTGTAAACCGTTCACTGGATTTAGACTATACCGACTATACTGCTCTCAATGCTGTCATTATGTCCAGTTGCTATGGTGACTGACTACACGTTTTAGGATTGATAGGATTGAGAAGAGTAGACGACAAGCTGTTGTTTGTTAATTGCCGTCTCTCTCTCTCTGATGCATAAGTAGGCTACATTCGGTAATGACAGAATGGAGAGCAGTTGACTTTGCTTTTACACTGTTCTCATTGGTAAACTCTTGTGTTAACTTGGTGTGAGAGCAAACCTTGTTGTCCTGGAGTAGTTAATATGGACATAGCTAGTCTAAACGACACAACAGCAATGTTTGTTTGTGGATTGCTTTTCTTTGTGTAGTTTTAATCGGGTTAAAAGACTTTACTTGCAACTTCTTATCCTTGATAATGGAGGTAAGTTGATTTGGTAGATTAGT